TACAAAGCAAAGAAGCTAACAGCTTTTGCTTCAGCCAATAGAAGATAGGGTTGGTGCATTAAATGCACTGCTTTGTGAAAGCCCTGAGTTTATCTGTCCACTCCATTTGTTACAGCCCAACAGAAGCATTTTCCTGAAGATGAGTACACTTTAATTAGTGCAGCTACATGGAAGCAAGATCTCAACCTCAGAAGCAGTGGGAGTGGACCACCTATTTTAAATGGCTACCAGCTGACACAACCTGCAAGTCACTTTTTGGTCTTCCTAAAATAAAGCACTGCGTGCTTGCAGCCTCATGGATTTCACATTACCTCTGTTTCTCAGGCTCAGGATTCACCACTGTGCTAATTATACCATAATCTTGACTGACATCTGAATTATTTTAAGAGGAGCTTCATCTGAACAAGTTACACCAGTTTTCATTCAGAGTGACTCCATGGAAATATGCTGAAATGCTATAGATTTGTATCTCCTATGTTCTTCCCTTTTATTTTTAGGAGCATATTCTGAATTTGCTTTTAGCTAATACTAAGGCAACAGGCATCCTTTATAAGGCTGGTTACTGCATTCATTTACCATTCTGAAGGACTGAGAAATACCCCCTTTATTTCCTCAAGCATCACATAAATATCAACACAAAGCCTGCTAGTGCTTTTTGAATTACAACTTTCAGAATTGTTATTTACAACCACTGCATAGGGTTGTATACTCCACTATAACTTTTTTTAAAAAAAACAAGTTGAACTTTGGCTTTGAGGAAGCTGTTGCCCAGAAGCCAATTTGAATGGAGTTTTTCATTATTATTTTTTTTACATATCAATTGTGTGCTTACAGAAAACTACTCCATGTAAATCATTTATATGACTACACGATCCAACAATGGTTTGAGCTTTTTAAAAACAGTTGTAGAGTGATTTTAATTACCTCCTGGTGCTTTGAAACAAAAAGTGAAACATGCAAACTAAGAATTGAAAAATAACTTTCTGAAAGCAGCCTTCATTTCACTTTAGCCTAGCATTCTAAATAGGATTTTCATTTCATATTTAATAAGGTATTATATGTGAATTAAACTGCAACCATTATTTACTTAGCTTTAAAACCTGGGTACTTGTGGATTTTATTACATACGAACAGACTGGCCTCTAAAAACTTGTTCTTAATCAATAACTGTACACATAATACAGTAAGTTCTACACAGAATGTAAAATACATGCCGGGAGTTACACCTACAGGAAGGAGAATTCTGGAAGCCTGGTAGGAACCTTAAAGATAGAGTCCAAATCCATCATACTTGCTGCTCATCCCACAAAGTCAATGTTTGAGCCATTTTTCACGGTGAAAGGCCAAAGCACAAGAGCATTTGAGCCCCACCTACTCAGATCTGCTCAAGGATAACCATGTTACATAGCATTATCTATTAATTATTAAAATTACCAGCAGCAATTCCAGCAGTTCCCCCATATAATATAGGGTGAAATATAACATACCATGGATTAAAATGATTTCTTTAATTGCATGTAATTCATTCTAATTCACATGCTAGATCTGATCACAGACAGACAAACTTGGAGAGCCTATTATTTATGTGGTATAATAAATATTTATATGAGGAACTGTGAAAGCTCTAGTTCAAGTCATATATACATCTGCCTTAAGAGGAAGAAAGCAAAACAAACAGGGTTCAATCATCTGCTGTCATTGCATTAATATGAAAAAAAGTGCCAGGGAACAAGCACCTAAGGCACAGGCTTCTTTGCTAAACTCATTTTTCTGCTCTTTCCTTATCAGATCCAATGACCTAGAGAGAGTCACTTCCATCTGAGTTTCCTCAGGGCTTTGTAAACACATCTGTTTTCTCTACATGAGATTACAGGAGAGAACCTATATATTAGGCGATAAAAATATTCCACTTCTCAGCAGACTACTGAGTTTAAGTTACACACCATGAGCTGAAGCGAGGCTTTGGAGCTTTGCTCCTCCAATTCTGTGCCAACTCAGAAAAGCAAACCCAGATTCTTTCTACCCAGATGAGGAGAGAAATTGCTGTGGTAGCTTTGTATCTTTCAGGCTGCCCTGAAAGAGATGTTGTAGATGCCCCATCCCTGGAGGTGCTCAAGGCCAGGTTGAATGGGCCCTGGGCAACCCGTACTGGTGGGTTGGTAACCCTGGCCACAGCAGGGAGTTGGAACTGAATGATCTTTGAGGTTTCTTTCAAGCCATTGTATGATTCTGTATCTGATGGAGAGAAACAGGGTTCTTGAGAGGAGACCTGAATCCTGGTATTAGCAGTATGCTGGACACATCTATCTCATTCCCTGTGGTTCAGGGGCTCTTACTATAAAAATGTACATGTGGAACATATCAGGTACATTGAATACGGTCAAGGATATCATACCACTAAATATTAAAAAAGGGTATTTTTTTTTTTTTAACATCCAGATTCTTGCTACTCAGGCTCTTAATTAGGTAGTCACCTTATATACTCAGATCTGAGTAGGAAAAGTCCATTTTTTAAATTAGCTGCTCTTGGTATAAATTCAGAGATGCAGACAGAGGCAGTTGTAAACAGCATGATAAAGGGGGCAAAGGGTTCCCTGTGCTGAAGAATATTAATGGCTTGTTGCTTGCAAATAACCTTTTCTCCAGAGACCTCTCTATGCTCTGCATATTGTCGCTGCACAAGCTAGCAGCAAAGTAGAAGCTTTATTAAGAGAGTTACAAATAAGGTCAAATTCCTTTATGAGCTCCTCAGAGTTCCCAAGGCATTCAAAGGAGAGGTCCAAATGTTTTCAGGGGATTTCCCATTATGGTCAGAGGCACAAGTTTCAGTGTGTTTCCAGTTAAAAGGGGATCCTGGCAGTTTTTCTCTTTAACATGACAGGGATAGGGTGGAGTCCTTCACAAAAACTTTCTCTTCTCAGATGCTAAGCACATTCACATAGACATAAGACAGAAAGCACATGTTTGACAGGAAAATGGAGTGCTAAGTCTGACTGGAGACTCCACACTACTCAAAAGCAGCAGAAGGATGGCGGGGTTGTCCAAGCGTTAAAGAGCTACAATGCATTGACAAACCTCACACCCCTCCCAATGAGCACCCAAAATGTTGCGTGTCTCTGTAGAACCCAAGAAATTCACCATTAGCAGGCTTTATCTGCTCAATACTCCTATAGGAGTACAAGGTCGTCTTTTTCAAGGCAGAGCAAATTAAATGATTTATTCTGTTACCTTATGGCAATAGTACCCTGATCTGTTAGGACAACTCTCCTCCTCATCCCTCAGTTTTTTAAAGTCTCAACTGTAGATGATGAAAATGGCTATATTTAACCCAAACGTACATTTTATTCACAAAAGCAATGGATGGAATAACATTTTCTGAGTTGCTTTTCATCAGGAGAGGATAATATCTCTCTCCACCTCTGGGGCACCTACAAGTTCTTCACTCATTGGTAACTCATACTACCTGAATAAACTAATTGCTGCAGACTTATCCAGGACCTACATCCCATGAAAAGGCCCTCTGCCAAGGCTCTGGCATGACACAAATCATCATTCCAGTGAAACTGAAACAGAATAAATCTTTCGTGTGCAGAATGTAGCTGGGTTCTGCCTTGTGGGAAGTGGTGCTGCTGTAAAGTCTGACTCATAGCCATGTTTGTGAGATCAGCTCCTTGCTAGTGTTTGAGATCAAAGGCTGTCGCGGAGCAGCCCTTTCTGTATCGCAGGGCTGTGGAAATGTGCATAGAAGTGTTCCCTAGCTAGAGAAAGCTTGTCATGATGCTTTTACCAGTTCCTGAAGGAACAGAGTTGCCTCCTGGGCTAATTAAGCCCATGGCAGGAGTGAAAGTTCTGAAGCAGTTTGGGGGACTTTGCACACAGATCCCAGAATTGCTGGGAAATTCAAAAGAAAGAGGCCTACACTAACCTGTCAAACTTAAAGCTTCTACTCCATGGCAACTAGGGGACAACAGGAGTGCATTCAAAGGCATGTGTTACCTCCAAAGATGGAAGACTAAAAAACAGAGACTTTTCCACCATGCATCTAAAACATGGGACTGTGTAGGAGACCCTGAACTCTACCATGCTACAAGCGTTGAGGTTTTTCCAATTACACAGCTAAGGCACTCACCATGCAGCACAAGTTAATTGACAGGCCTGGTTCTACCACTCATCTACTGACACTAATCACCTGCATATCATGTTTCCAAGCAGTCACTTCACACTGAACAGCATTTAACTCCTTAAGGGCACAGGATCAGCAGCCGTGAAACCAAAAATCTCCAAATACAGCTGAACAGATACCAGCGCAGACCACAGCAGCCCCTTAAGCTACCTCTGCAGCCCCTTCTGAAGCCCTTCCCTCTCTAGAGGCAACTCTTTTGAGAAAGTGGTTAATCCCCTTTCAGTTCTGCAGAAGAAAAGGTGGTGAAGAATGCCAGCCACGTGGTTTTGCACTGAGGACATACACTCTGACACAGCCTAAAATGCTCAAAGTCATTTCATGTTGGCTCAAGAGCAGACAGTTTTAGTGAATGTTTTGAAGTTTTTGAATCTTCAACACATGAATGTAAGAAACTACGATAGCCTAGTAAAGAATCTGTTCAGAGGTACCCCAAACTGACTGCAACATGATTCAACTTAACAGCTTGCTTTTTGAACTTTTATCCCTTGCTTTAATGTTAATAAAATTTTAAATACAATGTCAAGGCTTGACTTAGCCATAGACAGTCCATGACACCTACCAATAACACACATCTCCACAGTACAGATAGAGGGTATGGACTACCAGGAAGGCAAACAATTGAGTAAGGAATTCAAGGAGCATCCCAAAGTCTACAGTCTGACGAATCTGCCAAAAGCCTGCAGCTTCCTAACTTGGCTATGACTTCTACCTGTACTGCAGTTAGGCACTTATGATTCAGCTCACCACTGGCTATGAAAGCTCCACACATTAGGAGCAAACAGTGACAGGTTGCATGTGCCAGTCCTGCCTTTCCTACCCAGGCTCTCTGCCAGCACTATGAGATGACAGTAAAGGAGATAAACCTGCTCAGATTCCCAGAACAGTGTGCTCTGTAAAGCCATTCCCCTCTTACCAATCGTGTGCATCCCTAGGTTTTGGTATGGGCACTCCAGACTGTCTCCCTGTGTCCTTCCAAAGATAGCAGAGTAAATGGCTATCACCATGCTCTTCTTACAGCTTAGCCGCAGCTTGTCATCTTCACAGGCTACTTTACTCTTGTACTCATCTAGAAGAAAACAAACAATTACTCAGCTGATACAGAGGCAAGCATCCAGCATGAAGGGAGCTTTATCACTTCTCCATAGTGTGAGTTTGTCAGAGGCAGTAGTGACCGGGCATCTGTCCAGACCTGCACATCAGCTGCCAGAAGCCCAGCCTTGTAACTACATTTGCTAAAGTAGCAGTGATCACTTCCATTATCAGAACACTTAATGAACATGGTTTAATCCAGCCCATGTGAATTCCAATAAATAGATGGACATGTGAGTGAGGTATGGCAACTGAGAGATTTCTCCTAGTGATATTAGAAGTCTGTGGCAGGGGAAGGCAAAGGCATATCTTTAGACACATTTCTCATCAGCCCTTCACGTGCCAGATTTTCATTCCATATTCTGCCCCTGAAATCCTTGAAATAGACAGTCCAAAGCCACAAAATATACTGTCGCTTTTGTAACACCATTGCACACAAAAGAACTCAGTTTACATCTGCCATAATGACTAAGCAATTATTTCACAAGAAATCTCATAATTCCCTTCTCTTTACTATTATCTGTATTATGGGAACCCCTAGAGGTCCCAACTTAGAACAGGCCCTCCCCAAGCATGTCTGCTAAAACACCACGGAAGATAACACTAATCTGCAGAGTTGAGTCTTAATAGCTAGACATCTATAAGCATGCAAGACAGAGACAAAGAAAACCAATATGCATGCCTCAGATCAACCCAGCTGACAAAGGGCACAGCCAGGATGTCACGGAATTAACTGGATCAGTTTATGCCCGTGACAGGGGGCAGTAGGCCCCTGCCCTCCCCACCCCCCCCACCTGGGCCCACAAAATGGGAAGGAAGGGGGAAAAGGAAAGAAACAGCGGCAACAATCTATGGAGGTAAACTTATTTTACTAACTATGATATCGGAATACAAAATAATACAATATAATACAATCTAATTGAAATTGAGACTAATGAATGAAATAAGATATGAGAGAGAGTTCCCGAGACCGAGTCAAACCTGAAAAAAGCTTGGAACGGCTAGGAAAGCACCCTCCAGCACCCACTGCCAGGCAGTAAGAGACCGCCCCCCCCGGAAGGGTCAGATCCCGTGACTTCCACAATGTATAGGGATAGGTACGTAGAGTTAGAACATTAACACTTCCAGTACACGATGTTTTGATGTTGAATACTGAAAGTCAAATAAGCAAAAACCAAAACCATGACACAGGAATATGATGCCAACCTCCTCAGTCTCAGTAGAGCGACTTTTCACTTGACTGCATTATTTACCTTTAGAAACATAGTCACAACAGGTCAAAGACTGCTCTCCAGCGCCAAGACCAACTGATATAATTAAGTTTGCATTCACATATCTGAACTCCTTTCTTCCCTACTGCAAGGTGTTGCATCTGAATGACTTAATGGGAAGGGTCCCTGATCCACAGTAACCTCCAAAGCATAATCAGTCATCATCTTAATGCTGCTGGTTGTTCCAGATCAAAGTTGTGTCACTAACACATAGTAGTAGAGCATACTAACAACTAAAGAGTGTAAATAATAATCAGCCAGCGCCAGCTGTCCCAGGCCCTGTGTGTAGTACAGACATGATAGTTGTCTCTATGCATGATATCACAAATAGATATATTATATCTATATATATAAATATAGATACATATAAAGACATACATAAATATGCTAAGTCCATATTTATAAAACTACATAATAAATGAGAACACAAGATATTTTCATTACAGTTTAATACTTAATATTTAGTTACTTTAATGCACATCTCGAATACCGTGTCCAGTTCTGGGCTCCCAGTTCAAAAAAGACAGGAATCTCTTAGACATAGTCCAGCAGAGGGTGACAAAGATGATGAAGGGCTTGGGGCATCTCCCATATGAGGACAGGCTGAGAGACTGGGGATTGTTCAGCCTGGAGAAGAGAAGGCTGAAAGGAGATCTCATCGCTGTCTCATCCACAGCTGAAGTGTGAGAGCAAAGTCAATAGGGGTGGACTCTTTTCAGTGGTGAGCAACAGTAGGACGAGAGGCAAAGGGCAGAACCTGGAACACAGGAAGTTCCATACTAATGCAAGGAAGAACTTCTTCACCTTAGAGTGACGGCACTGGAATAGGCTGCCCAGAATGGTTGTGGAGTCTCCTCCTATGGAGATATTCAAGACCCTCCTGGACACCGTCCTGAGCAACCTGCTGTAGGGAAGGAACCTGCTTTGCAGGGGGTTGGACTTGATGATCTCTTGAGGTCCCTTCCAACCCCTGCAGTTCCGTGATTATGTGACTTAAGTCTTTTTGCATCATCAGAGATGTGACATAATTCAACAGTTTTTACTGCACAACTACAGGCCCAGGAATCATTTATTCCTAATGGGAGCTAGACAGAAATGCTCCACTAAAGTTGAATCACAGATGAACTCAGGTTGGAAGGCTTCTCGGAACGCAATCTGGTTTAACCCCTGCTAACAGTAGGGCTATCTTCTAGATTGGATCAGTTTTTTCAGAAGAAACTACACGAAGGAAACACATATCATACCAAAACACACACGTCCTGATTGAAAAGAAGTTCTAAGTGACTTCTTATGCTCAACATGGAAATTACTACTCAAAGCTAAAAAATAGCCCCTTCAAAATATCCTGTTACCCTACATCACAGCAACCACCTGGAGAGTGGAAGCTGTGGCCCAGACTCTCACAGACCAGATGACAACCTTAAACCTACACACCAGTTATTTGGGTATCTCATCTTCCTTCTTCCCCTCCAGCTTCATATAAAAATCTCTGAAAAATTCTAGCTTTCATGCCACCGCCAGAAAACTTTCAGATGTCCAAAATATTTATGGAACAGGGAAACATCTTATCTAGCTCTCCTCCCTGTAGATGAAGTCAGAATTAAGATGTAACTCATTCATGGGAGAATGACTGTTAAAAGAACATCCTCAGCAATACCTGCAGCGTCCAACTCACGGCCAGCTCTGCATGCAGAACAGAGACAGGAGGCAGCAACAGAAGCTCTTTTTAACATCAGAGTATGCAGAGAGAGAGGATACCTCACACTGCTCGAATGAACCAGTCAGCCCATACTTTCTGTGTGGGTATTTCAGTCACTATCACCATTATCTGAACGGCACACTGAATATATTGAGTGGTTATCTTCATCTCTAGTTTGTTTTTTAAATAAGACTTCTGTTTCTTCTGGGATGGAAATGGGATCAGAGCTTTAGACTTGGTTACACAGTGTAACACCCAACAGTGTATAACTGAAATTAATAAACATAAAACAGTAGTTTCAAGCTAAAAGCACTAGGGCATTAAACTGTGCAATAGGGCAAGCTATACGTAGTTGCAGTAGTACTACAGAAAGGGAAAATACTTCTGAATGGCTGAAATATGAAATAGTTGATTGACTTAAGAAAAAGAAAAATCCCAGTATCCCTAAAGAACAAGTGCTAGGGTCCCCTGTGAAGCTCTCATTTCTTAGAGGGCAATAACTCAATTTCCTCTTCTGATTTATTACTAGCTACCATTCCCAATTAACAAGCGTAACTCATTGCTTCATGTCCTGAAGACCCATTTAAGGCCCTTTGAACCCTAATAAGTTCTGTTGACTGTTCAAAGTTAGAGCTTGTGATTTGGAAACTTCACTGGGATTAGATGCAGTGAGTATTATATCTTCTCCAGATGCCATTCACACCTCCTCTGAGTCAGTCCAAGAGCTGAGAAAATCAACAATAAAGCACATTTTCAGTTCTTACTCAGAGCAGCTCTGGGAAATTACATTTAGAGCTGGTGGAGGAAACTGCCTGATGAGTGACTCAAAGTACTAAACCAGGGCAATGAAGCTGACCATGCACTCCTTGGGGTCTAGCACAGGGTGACTTGCTGCTGACACGCTGCATTGTCGTGCAAGAAGGCTATGCCATCTGCAACAGATGTCACCTCCTCACAGCCACTGAATTCTGCCATAAGAAAGCCTATTGGAGCTGCTGCTTACTAAGGTCATGAGTACTCAGTTCTGGCCAAGGCAGTGCAGATCTCTGAGCTGTCACAGATTAAAATGCAACTTTTTTGAAAGGAAGGAATAAAAAAGAACAAATACAGATGCAGCACACAGTATTACTTCAGACTCCTTAAAATTTCCCATGAGTTTGATCATTGGGGAACAGGTTCTCTCTGCATTTCTGGGCAACCTGACAGAAGTCTAAATAAACAAACAGAAAGTGATGTTATATAGGGCATAAAACCTCTGAAAGTATTTTCTGTTTCATAGCTCTGCCACCTCCATCTTAGCCACGATGAACAAAAGCCAGTTGTCTTATATTCAGACAGTGATGGCTCCCAGGCATCTAGTAATTTTAAGGGCTGTGATTGATGTAAAAAAAAAAAATACACAGCAAAGCATCATCCACATATTTACTGGTACTTCAACTCATAATGGCATTATATAAATATTGAAAAGAACTGAAGCAGTGAGACTAGAAATGAATCTGCATTTTTCTCTCGCGTTCTCCCAAGTAGAACTGGCCTCCTACAGATCAGTCACAATCTGGCCCTAACCCTGCTCTAACTATTACAGTCTGAATATAATTCACTCCAAATACAAACATTTGTATTAGTGGGTTTCAGGTTTCACCCTGAAAAATTAAACACGTTTAAATGGCCTAGGAAAGGTGGCAATGATATTCAGCAAATGGCTTACTCAACTCTAATCCCCTATGCAGTCATCTGTAGGGCAAGAGAGATTTACCACGATTAAGATATTTATTAAGGATAATATCCCTTCTATTACTGCCTGTTTTACTGACTTAAACATAACTCAACAGAGAGAAACCAAGGAGGAAACAGCTGCAGGCTTTTCTAGACACATTTTAGAGGCCAATATATGGCATTATGATAACATAGTTAGAACAATTGAAGGGAAATAATCATAAAAGTTTCTAATGGAAAAAATGGCTCTCTCAAATAACAAAGTAAACAAGAACCATTGTGATAATAGAA